CCCTCCCTCCCTCTCCTTCCTTCCTTCCTTCCTTCCTCCCTCCCTCTCCTTCCTTCCTTCCTCCCTCCCTCTCCTTCCTTCCTTCCTCCCTCCCTCCCTCCCTCTCCTTCCTTCCTTCCTTCCTCCCTCTCCTTCCTTCCACTTCCTCCCTCCCTCTCCTTCCTTCCTTACTCCCTCCCTCTCCTTCCTTCCTTCCTCCCTCTCCTTCCTTCCACTTCCTCCCGCCTCTCTCTGCCCCCAGGGAAAAGTATGTCCTGGAGCTGCAGAGCCCATGCTACACACGCCTTCGGGACTGGCACCACCAGCGCTCTGCCCACGTGCTCAACGTGCGGTCGTAGCCCGGCCCTCTCCGGCCAGCTGCCCTCTCTGCCTCCTCCTTTCTGTCCCTCCTGCCCCGGGCACCCCCCTTGGTGCCTTCAGCTTCTGCCTACCTCACCACCCCTCTCCCGCCGCTGGCCTGAGCCTCCTGCTGGCCTGGCCCTGGCAGCCCACCTGGCTGGGGCCTGGCTTTGTCTGCCACTGGCTTCCCTCTCTGCCCTGTGGTCCTGCTGCCTGCCAGGTCTGTGCTGCCTCAGGCATGGAAATAAACATTCTCAGTCCTCCCTGCTCTGCCTCTGTCTTCTGTCTTGGTGGGCCTGGTTTGCATCTTGGGTGTGGGGGTGTCCGATGGTTCAGACTCAGCGTGGGACCTGCCATTCTGGGTCTCAGTGGGAGGGTGTGCCTGGCAAAGGGGGCCCTACCCTGCCGTCAGAGCCAGCTCTCTGGCATGAGGGGAGCCCCACGAGCTGCCCCACAAGTGGGACCCTGCTCTATCTCCCGGCTCCAGACAGCAGTCCAGCTAGCTAGTGTGGCTAGGAGAAGCTGTCCTCCCCTCCTCCCCTGGGGGCACCTGCGGTCCAGCCCAGCAGCGCTCCTGCACCGGGCATCTCCCGTGGGGCCAGCTGGACCCAGGTTGGGGGGAGGGGCCATGTCAGGAGCCTCAGCCACGCAGGGCCTTGAATGGCAGATCTTGCAGCCAGGTGCCCAGGATGGAAGCCCCAGCCCCTGCCTCAGCTACACCCCAGGAACCCTGGCCTGGTGAGAGAGGGTGGGCTTGGGCTTAGGGAAAGGTATGGGGGGGCTGGGCTCCTCAAAGGGGTATGGGGGTGGTGTGCTCCTCAAAGCTGCCCTGGGCTCCACCCCCTGCCCTTTGGGGTCCCTGGGCACCCCTCTGGAGCCACTTTCCTTGGCCCTGGCAGGCCCTACCACCCCTAGCCCCACCAGCCGCCCGCCCTGGGCCGTGGACCCTGCGTTCGCTGAGCGCTACGCCCCAGACAAAACGAGCACAGTGCTGACCCGGCACAGCCAGCCAGCCACGCCCACACCGCTGCAGAATCGCACCTCCATCGTGCAGGCGGCTGCGGGAGGGGGCGCAGGAGGGGGCAGCGGCAGCAACGGCAAGACTCCTGTGTGCCACCAATGTCACAAGGTCATCCGGTGGGTGGCCCCTTCCTTTCCTACCCTCGCCTTGCTTGGCCTACAGTCTGGTCCTGGACTGTCTGCCCACTTGTTTTGCCTCAGCTGCCATGGGGGGAGAATAAGGATTCAATCCCCAGTTGGAGTGGGGGAGGGTAGGGACCTGGCCTGGGTTCCCAGATTCTTTTTTTTTTTTTGAGACAGAGTCTCACTTTGTTGCCCAGGCTAGAGTGAGTGTCGTGGTGTCAGCCTAGCTCACAGCAACCTCAATCTCCTGGGCTCAAGCAATCCTCCTGCCTCAGCCTCCCGAGTAGCTGGGACTACAGGCATGCACCACCATGCCCGGCTGATTTTTTCTATATATATTAGTTGGCCAATTAATTTATTTCTATTTATAGTAGAGACGGGGTCTCGCTCTTGCTCAGGCTGGTCTTGAACTCCTGACCTCGAGCAATCCTGCCCCCTGGGCCTCCCAGGGTTCCCAGATTCTTAATCCCAAACTACATTAAGCAGTGGCAGCATCTGCCCTTGTGAAATGGCAGAAGGGGCCCCCCACACCGAAGCTGCACCCACAGACTTGCTGCTTGGGGCAAAGAAGGGCCTGCCCCAGCCCTTCTGTGCCCTCACAGCAGACCGGCCAAAGGTCCCGCCCTCTGCACTGCTCCCTGGGGCCCAGCAGGGTCACACGGACCTCTGGAATGAATCACTGCCAAATTCTAGAGGCTTCCTAGCTCTCAGCCCTGGCCCTGGCCCTCAGCCCTGGCCCTGGCCTGCTCGTGACTTTCGCCAGTTTTTAGGCAGAAGCTGTGCAGAAAATGTCCTCCTTCAGACACCCCTGTTGATCTGGGACATGCAGACCCCTCCCCAGGCTGGGTGGGACAGGCGGGCAGGAACAGGGCGGGCACCAGGGTCCGCCCAGGTGTCCTAGGCACTCTGGGCCTCCTGCCCCCCAGGTGCCAGTTCCTCAAGGTTGTCTCCTTAGGCTCCAGTTGTCCGCCCCACTCAGTCCTCCCTCCTCTAAAACTGCCTCTCCTGTCTTCAGGCAGTACAGCGGGACAGAGCTGGCTCTCTGCAAGCTTCGTCGCTCTCACTGTCCCTCCCCACGCCTGTCTTGGACAGTGGGAGCACGAACTTCCCCACCCAGAGCTTCCTACGAGGTGGTGGGGAGACCCCCCTGGGCTCTGGCCAAAAGCCCGGCCTCGCCGGCCTCGCCTGCACCTGCTGCTCCCTGTGACGCCCTTGCCTCCCCGCAGGGGCCGCTACCTGGTGGCGCTGGGCCACGCCTACCACCCGGAGGAGTTCGTGTGCAGCCAGTGCGGAAAGGTGGTGGAAGAGGGCGGCTTCTTCGAGGAGAAGGGCGCCATCTTCTGCCCCCCCTGCTACGATGTGCGCTACGCGCCCAGCTGTGCCAAGTGCAAGAAGAAGATCGCTGGCGTGAGTGGGGCCGGCAGGAGGGTGGGAAGGCGCATCCCCTGCCTGCTGGCTCGGGGGAGTGTTGAGCAGCTCCCGGCCCGGGGCTTTCCTTGCATAAGCCCTTCAGGGCCTTAACGGCCGATGGACAGGCTGCTATATTGGTCCCACTTTATATTAGACAGGATCCCCTTAGCCAATTAGACAGGACCTCTTAGCAAAGTCCCACGCAGAAGGGCTCAGTGGAAAAAAACAAAGGGATTGGCTCAAATGACTGTGAAGCCCAAGGCGCTAGTTTCAGGCCCAGCTGAACCCAGGCACTGAGGCCATAGGACGCTGTCGCCTGCTTCTGCTCTCATCTGCGTTGGCTCCTTCCCAGCACGCTTTGCCCTAGAGAAGGCAGCAAAGATGCTGCAGTATCTCCAGTGTCACAAGTCGCCGTAGTGCCACGGGCTGAAAGGGATCACTCTGTCCCAGGTGATGCCCCAGAAGTCCCTGTACCCATGCTCATGGGCCTGGCTTGGGTCACATGACGATCCCTGAACCGAGCGTCCGATCACCAGGCCTCGGTGAGCCCTAGCCCTGGAGCTGGGGGGAGCTGCCTGAGCCCAGAGCAAGAGTGAGGGAAGGAGCGGTTCCCTGTAATAAAAGCAGGGTGACACTGCTGTAAGAAGGGACACGCTAAACAAGTGGGAGGTGGCTGCTGTGTCCATTGGGATTGCATTCATCTGCGACAACAGAAAACCCCACTGCAGAGACTTAAACAGAGAGGCTTGTTTATTTCTTTTTCTTTTCTTTCTTTATTTTATTTTAATTTTTTTTTTTTTTTTGAGACAGTCTTGCTCTGTCACCTGGGCTAGAGTGAGTGCCGTGGTGTCAGCCTAGCTCACAGCAACCTCAAACTCCTGGGCTCAAGCGATCCTTCTGCCTCAGCCTCCCAAGTAGCTGGGACTACAGGCATGAGCCACCACGCCCGGCTAATTTTTTCTATATATTTTTAGTTGTCCAGCTAATTTTTTTCGATTTTTAGTAGAGACGGGGGTCTCGCTCTTGCTCAGGCTGGTCTCAAACTCCTGACCTTGAACAATCTGTCCGCCTCAGCCTCCCAGAGTGCTGGGATTACAGGCGTGAGCCACCGTGCTTGGCTGAGAGGGCTCTTCGTTTCAATCACAAGAATTCCAGGGCTAGAGCAGCAGAGCAGCATGCAGCATGCCCTTGGGGGCCTAGGCTCTTCCCACCTTGTTGCTCCGGAATCCCGAGCATGTAGACCTTTGTTCCCAACCTTATCATGTAATGGTTACAGGTTTTACCTCTGCACTCCGGAACGGGCTTCCATCTTTGTGGCTTTGGCTGGAACTGTCATCCTGTGACTGCCCTGGGCTGCGAGGGCAGCTGGGACATGCAGTACTTAGCTGTCCAGCCTCAGCGACAGGGAAAGCCAAAAAGGAAGAGGGTTGAGAAAGGCTTCTGAGAGGCCAATCCTCAGCGTCCACTGCACCCAGTGCTGGAGAAACTGAGGCTCCGGAAGATAACTTGCTGGGCTTTAAGTATATAAGGCTATTGAGTGGCAAAGCCAGAAATTCAGACGCAAAAATTTGTAACTGAGAATCCTCTTCGTCCCACGGAGGGTAAACACAGAGCGTAGTCTGACCAGGTTTCCTGTGGGAAAACCTGCCGCCAGTCAGGACTGGGCTTGGGACCTGGGTCAGTGCGTGTTAAGAGCTAAGAGTGGGCTGCATGTGGTGGCTCACACCTGTAATCCCAGCACTTTGGGAGGCCGAGGCGGGAGGATCCTTTGAGGCCAGGAGTTCAAGACCAGCCTGGGCAACATAGCAAGGCCCTGTCTCTACAAAACTAAAAAAAAATAGCCAGGTGCGGTGGCACGTGCCTGTAATCCCAGCTACTCAGGAGGCTAAGGCGGGAGGATCGCTTGAGCCCAGGAGCTTGAGGCTACAGTGACCGATGATCAGGCCACTTCACTCCAGCCTAGGTGACACAGTGAGACCCTGTCTCTAAAAAGAGCTGAAGCAATGGGCTGTCTCCACCCACTTGTTCTCTTTATTAGACGTGGACAGCATGCCAGGAGGTGTGCCCCATACTGGGCACACATGGACAAGATGGATGTGGGCCCTGCCCCCGGGAGCTCGCCCTGGGGAAGGGGACTCGGAGTGTGGCACAGGCTGAGGGCAGAGCTGGCCATTGTCCCTTACCCTGGGGGACAAGGGGGCAAAGAGTGTGGGGTTGACAAGCTGAGTAGGGTTCCTGTTGGACATACATGGGAGCCAAGGCCCAGGGAAGGACAGAAACTTCCCGAGGCCACACAGAGCCTGGGGGCTGAGCCAGGAGCAGCCCCAGGCCCTCCTGATGGCCCCCCCATGCTCTCCCTTCCTCTCCCTTCCTCTTTATTTCTGCATCTAGAGGCAAGGTTTCCAGATGTGGCCAGAGAGCTCTGTGACGGGGCTGTCCCTATCAGTGAGGGTCACCTTGACCGAAGGGCGGGAAAACTCAAAATAGTGGCTACTTGTTTCTTACCTGAAATAGCCCAGGTGTGGACAGTCTGGGACTGGCATGGTAGGGTCCTGCGTCCTGTTGCCCAGCTGTCGTCTCCTCCTGCTTACTATGCACAGTCCAAGGTGGCTCTTGGGGCTCAGCCAAATCATCCACGTCCCAGCCAGAGGAGGTGGGAGGGAAAGAGAGGGGCCAGAGCCCCCCTGGCATCCACCTTCATAGGAGGCTGCTGCCCTGACTGTCTGCTTCCACCCCATTGGCCAAAACCCAGTCACGACCACACCGAGCTACCAGGGAAGCTGGGAAATAGGGTCTTTATTTTGGGCAGCCATGTGCCCAGCAAAAAATGGGGGTTCCATCAGTAGGCATGAAGAGGGAAAGGGACATCATCTGGGTTTGCTTCCTTAGATCAAGGTCCTCCTGTTGTCAGACTGCTCTGCTCACACTCTAGCTGCTAGCCCGGCCCAACCCACCCCGGCCAGGAGGGCTCGGCCCGCCACAGTTGAAGAGGTGAGGCGCACAGGGCCTGGCTGGCTTCTGGGGGGAGTAAGCCTTGGGGGGCAGGCCCTGCTGCCCCAGCCAGGCCCGTGCATCCACCTTCACCTCAGTGGCGGGAACTGTTGTCACGACTTGGTGCAAACAGCCCTATTTTCTTTTCTTTTCCTTTATTTTTTTGAGACAGAGTCTCACTCTGTTGCCCGGGCTAGAGTGAGTGCTGTGGCGTCAGCCTCGCTCACAGCAACCTCAACCTCCTGGGCTCAAGCGATCCTCCTGCCTCAGGCTCCCTAGTAGCTGGGACTACAGGCATGCGCCACCATGCGCGGCTAATTTTTTCTATATATTTTTATTTGACCAATTAATTTCTTTCTTCTTTTCCTTTTTTTTGAGACAGAGTCTCACTCTGTCGCCTGGGCTAGAGTGCCATGGAGTCAACCTAGCTCACAGCAACCTCAAACTCCTGGGCTCAGGCGATCCTCCTGCCTCAACCTCCCAAGTAGCTGGGACTACAGGCATGTGCCACCATGCCCGGCTAATTTTATATATATATATATATTTTTTTTTTAGTTGGCCAATTAATTTCTTTCTATTTTTAGTAGAGACGGGGTCTCACTCTTGCCTCAGGCTGTTTTCGAACGCCTGACCTCGAGCCATCCTCCCGCCTGGGCCTCCCAGAGTGCTAGGATGACAGGCGTGAGCCACTGTACGTGGCCAACAGCCCTATTTTCAAACCCTGGAGTTCACTCCTGTGGCAGTGAGATGGGACGAGAGGAAAGGCCCGAGGTGTATGTCATGAGCCCCCCCCTGCCCCCAGGCAGGGATCTAACCTTGCGCCTGCCGGTGTGGCTGGGCAGTCCCCACGCCCTTGCTCAGGCTGGAGCACAGGGACAGCAAGACGGGGGACGGGAACGTTGTGACGAGTTGGAGGGAAGTTTGGGTAGGGGGACACCTCAGAGGGACGTGGCCCAGTCGGGATGGCCTGGGGGTCCTGTGCTCTCGAGTCGGGTCACCCACCCCCAGGGCACGCACCTGCGCTCCCGCCGCGCCAGCCCCTTCCCTGAACCTCGGGCCTTCGCCCAGGCCGCCCCTGCCAGGGACGTCTGCGCCACCCTCCCTCCTTGCTTCTCTTCTGTGACTTGTATATCACCTCCTCAGGAACACCTTCCCTGACACCCGCCTCCCACCGGCCCGGCCCGGTCCCCCACGCCGCCGTGCCCTTCCATTCCTCGCGGCCTCGCTTCCGCAGGGGTGGCTCCCGCGTTGAGAGCAGCGCTCCGTGTCGCACCTGCCCGTCAGGGGGGGGTGCTCATTAAACACCCGAACAGGTGGCTGGAAGTGGAACACCAGTAGGAAGCAGCGAGGAGAGGGCAACGCTTGTGTCACGAGGTGACACCTGGGAAGAGTGCGAGATGAGGCGAGAGGCGGGCAGGGCTGTGTCAGGCTGGAGCTGGCGGCCGTGAGCCACATGTGCCCCGAAAGCCGCCTCTGGGGCGGGTGGAGCTGGAGCGCAAGGCAGGGCCTGCAGGGGCAACTTCAGTGGGTAAAGGGGAATCGATAGCTGGGCCGCAGGTTCTCCTGGACAGCAGCAGAGCCCTGCGGCCCAGCTCGGCCCAAGCCCAGCAGCCCTCAGCCCTGCCAACCCCTCCTCTCCCCCCAGCTCGGAGCCCAGACTCCTGCACTCCCTCTAGGGCCAACACTTCGCTCCTTTAAAAAAGGCATCACCAGGCCTGGCGCGGTGGCTCACGCCTGTAATCCTAGCACTCTGGGAGGCCAAGGCGGGCGGATTGCTCGAGGTCAGGAGTTCGAGACCAGCCTGAGCAAGAGCGAGACCCGTCTCTACTATAAATAGAAAGAAATTAATTGGCCAACTAATATATATAGAAAAAAAATTAGCCGGGCATGGTGGCGCATGCCTGTGGTCCCAGCTACTCGGGAGGCTGAGGCAGGAGGATTGCTTGAGCCCAGGAGTTTGAGGTTGCTGTGAGCTAGGCTGATGCCACGGCACTCGCTCTAGCCTGGGCAAAAAAGCGAGAAAAAAAAAAAAAAAAATCAGATTTCATTTTAGTACCTAACCTCAGTTTCAACCTAAGCTTTCTAGGCAGGCCTTTCTGAGCGATCCTGGCAGCACCACCTAAGGAGGCAGAGCAGGGGCCCCTGTGACAGGAGGCTCTGCCTGGCCCCTGCAGGCGCTGGGTGTGGGACCCCTGGCTTTAATCACGGGGCCGTTCTCACAGCAGCCCTGCAAGGCTGGAGTTAGGTTCCCAGTTCACAAGGGACGGAACCAGGTCTCGGGAGAAGGTAAAGCTATTGGCCAAGTCACTCAGCTAAGAAGCAAGTTCTGGCCCACAGATCTCTGACCACCTCCCACCCCAGGCCCACACTGCCCCGAGCCTGCCCAGATCCGAATGCTGCTGGCCCTGGCTGTCCTGGCATCCTGGGGGTGGCCACCTCGGCCCTGGGACCCTCTACTGCCTCCTTCCCACAGTGAGCCCAGTTAACTGGCCACCGAGGGCCAGGCACCGTTGGGCTAGATCAGTTACTAAAACAGTGGAGGCCGGGTGTTGTGGCTCACGCCTGTCATCCTAGCTCTCTGGGAGGCCGAGGCAGGCGGATTGCTCCAGGTCAGGAGTTCGAAACCAGCCTGAGCAAGAGCGAGACCCCATCTCTACTATAAATAGAAAAAAATTAATTGGCCAACTAGCATAGATAGAAAAAATTAGCCAGGCATGGTGGCGCATGCCTGTAGTCCCAGCTACTCAGGAGGCTGAGGCAGGAGGATTGCTCGAGCCCAGGAGATTGAGGTTGCTGTGAGCTAGGCTGACGCCACGGCACTCTAGCCTGGGCAACAAAGCGAGACTCTGTCTCAAAAAAAAAATAAAATAAAACAGTGGGTGCTTCATGCCCTCCTGGACTTCACATTTTAGCAGGAAGAAGGGGAGACAGGAAGTTACAGGCACAGTAAGTGGATTATCTGGGGGCCTGCTGGGAGGACAGGTGTTGCAGAGGGAAGCGCAAAGTGAGGAGCTGGGAGCACAGCTCAGGGAAGGCGGCTGGGGTGTGGACCCGCGCGGTCAGAGTGGGCTTCCTGGAGAAGATGGCCTCTGAGCTGAAACTTGAAGGCGGTGACGAGTGAGGCTGGGATACCTGGGGTGGAGTGATCCAGGCCCAGGGGAGGGCGCACCTGGCATGTCCGTTTTGGGCAGGATCCACTTGAGTGCGATGGACAGCAGCAGCGACAGTTGCAGGGGGGCAAGAGCACACCGGCCAGCCTCTCACACCAGCCTTTTCCTCGGAGAAGCACTACGGGGTTTTGAGCCGGGGATGCGATGCAGCCTGGCTTGGGGCTGGAATCTTCAGTAGGGCAGGGGCGAGAGCACACAGGGTGGTTTAGCGTGGTCACCCAGGCCGGAGCTGGCTGTGCTCACGGTGCGCAGCAGGGGGGCCCGAGCAGCAGTCCGAATCCGGATGCAGGTGGGCACAGCAGGATTCGCAGGTGCACCTTGCTGGGGACCGTGAGCGAGAGCAGGTGCGGCTGCAGCCATTGGGAGGGGGAGCGGCCATCAGTGAGGGGGGCAGCCGCGGGGGGAGCAGACCGGGATGAGATCTGGAGTTGGGTTTGGGCAGTGGCAAGTCTGAGACGTGCCACTGCCCAAGTGGTGACCTCAGGCTTGCAGACGGAAGTGTGGGAGCTGTGTGTTATCAACCGTGAGAAGAAAGGGGGCCCAAGGCCGGCCTTCCTGTGTCCAGGGGAGGGGGCGGAGCTGCCGAGTGACTGCCTCCTCCTCCCAGGAGATCATGCACGCCCTGAAGATGACCTGGCACGTGCACTGCTTCACCTGCGCCGCCTGCAAGACGCCCATCCGGAACCGGGCCTTCTACATGGAGGAAGGGGCGCCCTACTGCGAGCGAGGTACGGGGCGGCCCAGCCAGGGCAAGGAGGGACAGGCGGGGGGGGGGGGCAGGTGCAAATCCAGGCCCTCTTCCTCTCTGCCTCCATCCCCAGACTACGAGAAGATGTTTGGCACAAAGTGCCGTGGCTGTGACTTCAAGATCGATGCCGGGGATCGCTTCTTGGAGGCGCTGGGCTTCAGCTGGCACGACACCTGCTTCGTGTGCTCGGTGAGAGCCCCACCCCCACCTCCGCGATGCATGACAGGTTGGGAAGGGGCCTCTTCTGCTGCCCCCGACCCCATGTGACTGGGCCTTCGCTGTTCCCAGATATGTCAGATCAACCTGGAAGGAAAGACCTTCTACTCCAAGAAGGACAAGCCCCTGTGCAAGAGCCATGCCTTCTCCCATGTGTGAGCCCTGCCGCTGCCATGGCTCCGCCGCTGCCATGGCTCCCCGGCCCGAGCGGCCCGGAGTCACGCCCAGCATTTCTGGGTCGAGCTGACAATGGTCGCTCCAACCCCGACTCCCGGCCCGAGCCCAGGGTTCCCTGGGCCCTGCCCCACTCTGCTCACCTCCCCCCACTTCCCCCACTACCATCACACACCGGTGCTGGCCACACCACCCCTGTTCACCTCCAGTGCCACAATAAACCTGTACCCAGCTGTGTCCTGTGTGCCCTGCCCCCATGCACCAGGAGTGCGGGATCTGAGGCGTGTGGCAGGGTGGGGATTGAGACGGTTCTCCCGGGGCGGGCCATCTTGGTGGTCCTCAAGATGGGGACGTGGAGGGTGCATGGTCAGCAGGAGGAGGTACAGGCAGGACCCTGCATGCTGGGCCTGGTGCCCACAGACCTGCAGGGAGCCCCTGGTCTGGCCTGACCTGGAGGTTGGAGAAGTTTGGGATGGATCTGCAGGGAAGGGAGTGTGGCGGCCAGGAGGGGGCTGTCCGCCACCCGCCATCCACCACTCGAGAACGGGAACGGAAGAAGGAAGGCTGGAGAGGGCAGTCTGCAGGTTCTCGGAGGCCACAAGTGCCAGCAAGGAGCCTGGACTGTCTCCCGAGGGCAGGGCAGGGCACAGCAGAGCTGAAACAGCGAAGGGACCAGTTCAGATCCGTGTTGTACGGAGAGGCCGCAGAGCAGCCGGGGACAGAGACAGGGAGAAGGGGGGCAGTGGGAGGGCCAGGAAGGGAGGAACTGACACTGCTGTGGCAGAGGTGGGGGCCCAGGGGTGAGGAGCGGGGAGAGGAGGGGCGGCAGCTCTGCGAGGCCTGTAGTCCATGCTAGGCTTGCTCACACGGCTGCGTGGGACACTCCCAGCACCCCTGCGAGAGCCTCATCTTCCAGGTGAGGCTCAGAAGCGTTAGGAGGCCTGAGCGAGACCGCACGGCCACTGAGCCACAAGCCAAGCTAGGAGCCAGGCCTGGCGCTGGGTGCGCCATCCTGAGCGCCATTCCCCGGCAGGCGCCCAAGAGGCTCACTTCCGCCTGGTCCTCAAGGACTGGAGGCTTTAGGGGTGGCTCCATCTTCCTCGGGTCTTCCTGCTCTCCTCCACTGCCCTGGAGAGAGTGTCATCTCCCTGTCCCAGGCCTGGACTGGAGAGGAAGTGAAGAAAGGGCCCAGACTAGGCCAGGACAGCTCAGTGTGCCGTGGCCACCTGTCCTGGGGCGGTCCCTGGCCTGAGACCTCCAGCAGGTCCTCTGGCCAATCCCCTATAAGAGGTGAGAAGGGCTTCTCTCTTGTGATCTCTCTCGGCTTCCCCGGAGCATGCACGCAGAGCTCGGCCTGCCATGTTCAGCGTGTCTTGCCAGGCCCTAGAACCGGAGCTGCCGTGCGGTGGGTCCCCCATAAACGCGTGTTGCATGACTGCATGAGGTGCCTGTGGGACATTGAGGAGACAAATTCAGGAAGCAGCTGAAGATTCAAGTCTGGATTCACCTCCGATTCAATTTGGACATGAACTTGGGACAGGTTCAGGGTGGTCAACGCGATCGATGTCCAGTGAGAGCTGGCCAGCGGGGCCACGCAGGTAACAGCAGCAGCAAAGCAGGTGGGATGTGGTTTCCTTTCGACCTTGACTTCCTTGGCGTATTAAGCATAGAGCATCTTTCACTTCCACAAGGAACTGTGCTCGCTCCCACTTCTCTTGAACCATGAAGCCCTCTCAGTCCGTCCTCGGTTTCCATGGATACAAGCGAGCAAGAGCACGGGGGATGGCAGTGGCTGTGGGGAGCCCATCTGGGGGCAGCCGCCCCTCAGCCTGCACAAGGGCTGCCCCTGACAACGCGAACGGCGTGGCCAGATCTGGTTTATCGGCAGCATCTAGAGGCTCAGATCTTTATGTGAGATCCGGCTTTTCAATATTGGCAACTACATTCAATTTTTAAAATCCTATTAAAAAATAATAAATATGAATCAGATCCAGCATGACGACAGCAGGCCCTCAGCACAGGGAAGAGAGGAGAGCAAGAGCATCACAGCGCTGGGCAGGGACCAGGACCACAGCCTCCTCCGGGAGCTCTGGGGTGGGGCAGGGGGGCCAGGGCAGGGCTGGAGTGGTTTAAGAGGCTGCCAACAGTGTCACCCAGGCAGATAAGGCCAAGGAGTCCCCTTGGCATTTTGCAACAAGGTGACATTTGCCAGATCAGTTTAGCAGAGAGCTGGGGCGAGCTGGAGCAGCTGCCAGGGTTAAAGAGGAAGGAGGGGGGAGGCGGTGAGGATGTGGACTGAGAGAGTGCAGACAGCTCTTTCAAGAGGCTTGGCTGGGGTGGGCCAAGAGGATGGCCAAGGTTAGCTGAGAGGCCAGGATGTGGGTGGGGAGAGCGAGCTGGGAAGTGCCTGCCCAGGATGGTGGCTGTGAGTGGGGAAGGAGAGAGGAGGGAGACGAGCAGAGAGCAGGGGCCGGGTCCTGCGTGCAAGGAGCAAGCATCATGCACCTCCCCTGAAGGCCACCTCACTCTGGATGCCGGACACACAAGTCACTTCAGTGTCATTTAATCATCATAACACATTTAGGAGAGACTTTATGGAAGGCAACAGTGTTTCAGAAGAGGGAACCGAGGGGTCAGAGAGGACAAGTGACCTGTCCAGAGCCACCCAGCTGGAATGGCCTGGGGCTGCTGCTCCAAGGATCCAAGACCAACGCAACCCCCCCACCCCCCAGCCACTCGTGTGCCCCCATCACAGAGCTGCAAGGATCGCAGTGTTCCAAAGCTGGGGTGCAAGTCTGTGTGGGTGGAGGCCATGGAGACTGGGAAATGAATGTCCTCCTGCCAGGCAGGGGAGGCCATTAGCATCCTTGGGGGGTGCAGGCTCCCAGCCGAGGGGGCAGAGCCCATGGCAGGGGGCTGAGTGGGCAACTGCAGAGGCAGCAGGCCCGGGAGCGGGGGGAGGCCGTTCCCAGCTCAGGAGCAACTCGAGCTCATTTGGAGTCAGCAGGGAGAGAGGCGGTGGAGGGCGAGGGACCGTTTCGCCCGAGTACCCAGGAAGGAACTGATGATTCTTGCGCTGCCTCCTCAGTGCTGGCCCCACAGGGACTTGGTACACACAGAAGGTACACGCACAATTCCGGAACTCTCCTAGCAGCCCTGCTGGAGGCAGGAGCTGATGGGCTAGAGGGCTGGCCGCAGGTCGCCCAGGGAGTGGGGAGGGCTAGGACTCAAACTTGAGTAGGCCTGAATGCAAAAAGCGTGCCCCATGAGTGGAGGACAGGCCCCTCCGTAATTTGGCCCTAAAGGGAGGAGGGCAGGGGCCAGGGCTCCGGGGACATGGGGTCAGCTTGCTAACTGAGAGCCTGGGGGAGCAGCCGAGAGCCAGGGCCAGCCGCCTGGGAGATTGTGCAGGGAGAGTCACTTCCTGGCGGTCAGCAAGCACCCCAGGACCAGGCTGGGTCCTCCTGCTCGGGGTCCAGGCACTGGAAGATCAATTCAGGTTTCACCCATGTCCCCCTTGTCACTGACAAAACTGACCACTACTTGGGGACCAGGTAGATTAGGAAGGACTCTTTCAGCTGCAATTCAGGCTAGTGTAGGCAAAAAGAGCTCATTTGACTGAGAGAGTTACTGGCTCCAGACCCGGCTGGACCCAGGCACCCATGGGTGTCACTGGGAATCTCTCGTTCTCGCTGCATCTCTCTGCCTTCCTGGGCGCTGGCTTTGTTCTCAGGAGGCTGTCCCCATTATTGGTAGGGATGTTCCCCACCAGCAGCAGGCCCTCACTCCGCCAGCTCAGCAACCTCAGTGGACAGAGAGAGCCTTTCTTAATGGTCCCAGCGAAAGTCCCAGGGCCGACACCCGCTGGACTGACTTGGGTCACGAGTCCATCCCTGAAGTAGTCACTGGGTTGGACCCAACCAGGCCTGGGCCACATGTCCCATCTGGAGCCAATCGCGGGAAGTCCACCAGAAGACAGGCGAGGCTGAGCAGGCCCTTGCGCCCAGGGCCCCACCCCTGCTCCCCCTTCCTGGACCTCAGGAAATTTTCCTCACCGGACTCCAGGCCAGCGTAGCCCCTGGTTGTGGAAATAGGGGTGTGTGTGGGGGCACCGGGGAGGGTGTGCAGTGTACTAAAGTGACATGGGACAGACGTGGGTTCCCATCAAGACATTGCCACTCACCAGCTGTGTGCCTCTGGGCAAGTCACTGCCCCTCTCTGAGCCTCAGGTGTCCCATCTGTAAAACAGCATCAACAACCAACCAACACATGGACAGCACCTACTAAGGACTGTTGCCATTTTAAGCACTTTCTAGACGCTTTTTTTAAAATCCTCAAACTGACCTCAGGAGGTAGGTCCCCTCACTGCCATCCCTATGTTACAGTCCAAGATGGGCATCCGGGATGGGCCTGGGCTCACACCATCAGCAGCAGGCTTGTTGGAACAGAACTGACGTAGTGAATGCGAGTGCCCGGTGGCCGCGCGGGGCCGCGCCCTGCGCACCTGGCGGTGAGCTTGGCGCTTGGCAGGATCTTGCAGAGGCAAGATGAGGCCAGAGAAGCTCCATCAGCTGGTGCTGGAAAAGTCTTGCAGCCTCCCCTCAGCCTGGAAAGCTTCCCCAGAGGTGTGGGGGAGCAAGAACAGGAAGGTGGGGGTGGAGGGAGGAGGGTGGGGCCGTGAGGAGGAGGAGGGGGGGTTCTCCTTTCTAAGCCTCCAGCCATGGTCATGTTTTACCCTCACAACAGGTTATCAAAAGGAAACTCAGAGAGGGGAAGCATTTTAGCCAAGGTCACAGAGCAAGGGATCAGTTTCTGCACCTGCATCCTCCCTGGCTCTCGTCTTTCCTACGCAGGGGATCCAGAAGCCACTGGATCGCAGCGTGTGGGATCCCAGCCTCCCAGGGTGTGGGGGCAGACATGTCAGTAGCTTGAAGGGTGATCAATCCTGGGGGGTGGCAGACATGAAGGCATCGTGGGAGGCACCTACCAGTCACCTGCCCACCAAGGAGGCTGGGTGGATGGGTTTCTGGGGCAGCCGGTGATTGAAAGGAGGCAGGCTCTCAGGGGACAGAGTGACCGGTGGCCACCCACTCCCACCAGTCAAGGTACATGGGAACTACATGCGTCCACTGAGTTTGGCAACTTAGGGATCCCTGGTGATCTTGGCCCCAGAGCAGGTCCAGGGAAATGGGGATAGGAGGAGACAGACGTCTCTATACATCCTGTGGAAATGACAG